GGTGTGGTACTTGTACTGTATTGTTTGTGTGGTACTTGTACTGTATTGTTTGTGTGGTGTGGTACTTGTACTGTATTGTTTGTGTACTTTGGTACTCACGGTCCCCGGCACAGTCGTACCAGTGAGCTCCCTTCTCCTCCGACATGTCGAGCTGCGTGCGAAGCCGGACGCACTCGGCCGGAGTCGTCTGGAAGAACAAGACCGGAAGCTTCCGGACGCTGCACCACTCGCAGCTGATCAGCTCCGACGCCTGGAGGCAGATGTTCTCCACGGTGTTTCGCTCCGAGCCTGACGACAAAAAAAACACGACGAAAAGATTTAAAAAACAGGAGGAGGAGGAGCGGAGGAGAATCGGTGTTTTAGTGAATGGAGTCTGGTGTCTTTGTAGAGATCAGAGGTTCTCCTGTCTGGTTCTATAAACTCTACTGTAGTAGAACACTGACTGTGGAGAAGAACCTCACACAAACACTACTGTCCCTTTAACTCCCACATGAAGTTAAAATAACTCCATAACGAGTCGTTGGTTCATATATTTCTATCCGGTGTTTCTGCAGATGTCAAAAGGCACAAAGCTTCCACACGTGTGACTGGACTAATCTCTGCTGACCGGCAGTAAACTGCAGCGCTGCGTCGTCCTGAGACATGAGAGCGCGGTGCCGTCACACTCCGCTGACTGTCTGATCCAACGGGTCTGTGTACACAGCGGTGTATTTACTGAACTCATTACTGCTGCTTCAGGCCTACCTTCAGTTTCCAGCTGGATCTGCTCGATGGAAAACTGGAAGAGAAAGAACAAGGAATGTCACAGCGCAATCCCTCGACCGGATGTTGAAGATATTCTGTCTTCTTCTTCTACTTTTTATGGCATCATAACTTTACACGAGTTATATAACAGTTTAATACTCAATTCAAGTTCAGGGGTTTAAAACACATTATACAAGCCTGTACTTTAGGTATCTTTACCGTACTGATGTTTGCTGTTCATAAAAACTTTGATTAGTTTCACAATAAAAGCTCTAAATGTTCTGGGGGCATAATCTCTTCACTTCCCTGTGAGGCTTTAATTGTGAAACTTCTGGAGGAAGTGCTGAGTGGTGATTATGAGGGACATATGTTCCCGCTTGTTTTTAAAATGTTTCAGACCAATTTTCTTATTTTTTGTCGTCAGTTCTTCAGTGAAAGAATAATATTCTGAAGCTCCAAATCAGCTTTTATTATGTTAAAAAAGGCATTTTTTAAAAAACCTGGTGGTGAAATATAGAATACATGCAATTGTGTTTGTATAACTGGATAGTTTTCATACTTTTCTGCACACGTGAGGTTTTAAAATTGACAACATTTTCGATGACAGAATACTCACGACGACGGGCTTCGTCACCATCCTGCGGAGAGTTCCCACTCTCACGCTCCGACACTCCAGAATGATGCTGTCGCACTTGTTGGACGTGAACTTGGGTTTCTTTGGCCTCGGAGACAACTGCTCGGGGGGTTGATTCCCAAACTGCAAGAGTAAATAAAAAGAGAGGAGAAGTGGACTTTAGGGACCAGGAATACAGTCAGTAGACCAACAGTTCAGGACATTAAGAAGAATATTTCACAGCTCGATCTGAAAATATTCTGTCGTCTCTCCGAAGCTTGACGAGTAAAAAGCTGCAACAAAGCCGGTGTGTTTCCTGAAGCACAACTCGTATAAACAGACATAGATGGAGGTCATTTTACTATAAAATACGTGCTCATGTCCTCAAACATTGGAAACACTGGTGGAAAAATGTACGATATAAAGATTCCAGCGTTTCCAGCGATTCCAATTTCTGTAAAATAAATTCGCGAAGAAATTCGCCGAGCATTATTATTTATTTAGTTATGATTGACGTCATCATAACTGTGTTGTTCTGCACTAAAGACATGTTCTAGTTCTCTCTACTTCTACTCATGATGGCTCTGTTTCCATAGAGGAGCAGAACTTTATGTTACAGTTACAATCAGGACCACAGAGAGAACAATGAGCAAATAAATGTGTTGAACTGCTCACCTGATCCTTCATCCGGGCTCTCCGCGGTATCGTGATCTTCATGTTGACGTCCTCGAAGAACTCGGTGTTGGGCTCCTCCTGCTCTCCGGCGCTCTTCACCGCCGCCTCCACTCTGCCTCCAGAGGGCGCCGGTGAGGAGTGAGCGGAGTCGGCGGGTCGAGGGGAGACGCTGTCCAGCCTGTTGACACTTCCTGTGCTGGCGTTGTCCGCCTCCTCCTCGTCATCGCTGGACAGGACGACTGGGGAGGAACATCAGGCGTTGGGAGATCAAGTGTATGTTTGAACAACTTTGACATTTTCTTATGGAGAAAAAGATCCTTTAGGTCATTATAGTGAGAAACTATCTCGACATAATGACAAAATATTAAAAAATAATGACTCTGTATGTAAATAGTTATAATAATAATGAAAGTAAACTGTCCTTAGTCCTTATTTTAAGCAACTATGTCATTGTTTAGAGATACTAAGTCATTATTTTAAGGATTTAAGTCTTTATTTAGAGATACTAAGTCTTTATTTAGAGATACTAAGTCTTTATTTAGAGATACTAAGTCAATATTTAGAGATACTAAGTCAATATTT